TTCGAGCACGTGGAGGACCTACGAACATAAACAATGAATAGTAGACGTAGACGATCCTCAAGCTCGGAAACGTGAGAATATCCCAAGTCACGAATCTAATCCTAAAGCTGTACATATCCAGTCTGTTACCAAAGGCTTTGATATTATCCTCATCCGACTTACTCATCTCATCGCGGTTCCTCACGCTAGGACTTGTCCTCTTCTCCTTCTTCTTCTGATCCTCACGGTACTGTGAATCTGGTCTCCTCCTGTCACCTCTCCCATCACGCTCCCTTGACCTTCTGTGTCTATCATCTCTCCTTACTGGACTAGCACTCTTATCATTTCTCCTCACCCCACCGCGGTCTCTCGATACTCTTTCATCTTTCCTCGTCACATCACGTTCCTTCGAACTCGGACTTCTTCTCCTCACTGGACTAGGACTCCTTCTATCACCTCTTCTCCTCTCCCCTTCCCTCGGGCTAGGACTCCTTCTATCACCTCTCCTCCTCTCCCCTTCCCTCGGGCTAGGACTCCTCCTATCACTTCTTCTCCTCTCCCCTTCCCTCACTGAGCTAGGACTCCTCCTATCACCTCTCCTCCTCTCCCCTTCCCTCACTGGGCTAGGACTCCTCCTATCACCTCTCCTCCTCTCCCCTTCCCTCGGGCTAGGACTCCTCCTATCACTTCTTCTCCTCTCCCCTTCCCTCGGGCTAGGACTCCTCCTATCACTTCTTCTCCTCTCCCCTTCCCTCGGGCTAGGACTCCTCCTATCACTTCTTCTCCTCTCCCCTTCCCTCACTGGGCTAGGACTCCTTCTATCACCTCTCCTCCTCTCCCCTTCCCTCACTGGGCTAGGACTCCTCCTATCACCTCTCCTCCTCTCCCCTTCCCTCGGGCTAGGACTCCTCCTATCACCTCTCCTCCTCTCCCCTTCCCTCGGGCTAGGACTCCTCCTATCACTTCTCCTCCTCTCCCCTTCCCTCGCGCTAGGACTCCTCCTATCACTTCTCCTCCTCTCCCCTTCCCTCGCGCTAGGACTCCTCCTATCACTTCTCCTCCTCTCCCCTTCCCTCGGGCTAGGACTCCTCCTATCACTTCTTCTCCTCGTTCTCCTCACTGGACTACTGCCGGCCTCCTCACTCTTCACTCTCGTCCGGCGCCCAACAGACGTCCGATGCCTATTCGGGGAGGTATCCGAGGGCTCGCTCTCACTACTACTAGGCTCCGACGACGATGATGATGATGATGATGATGAGGATGAACCTACCACGAGGAATGTTCAATACAGAGGAGCCACAAAGGAATGGTATGAGATACACAAAGATAGAGAAATCTATACACGATGACTTCTACGGCTCTTCCTCTTGTCACCATACCAACAGATCAATCATCATTGCCGTATGCCTCAAATACCTCTCCCTATCGACTACCCTCGACAAGCTCATCCCATCATCGCTCGTCAAATTCTATACAAGTGCTTTTACTCTCTAAAAAGTGTATTTTTTCCTCGTATGTGTTCCTCATTAAAAAATGAGAGTTTTGTGCTGAAACTTTAACAAAGCATAGCTATGATACACTTGAATGAAACTGTAATATTCGCAACCGCTACTAAGATACGAGAAAGTTTCCCAATAGGAAGGTTCACTGCAAAGCCGTTTACTCGACCCCCCATATCTCATGCACCCACTATTACTACTATCATCATCCTCATCACTACTGCTATCCTCATCCGAGTCATCCTCCACCGCAGCGGCCGCAGCCCTCTCAGCAACCTCCCTTGCTTGGACCTGTTGAGGTAGAGTGATGTTCGATCTTCCAAAAGGACTCTCAAGTGACCTCCTGTAGAAGTTGGCGATGCTTCTTAGTCAACGCTCCAAGGCCGATAGCCGAGAAGAAGTTGATGGCGAATCTAGAGGTAGGATATGAAAGATACAAAACAGGTCCGATACGAGCCTACCTCATATGATGGGTCGTATCCTTCGGTAATACACCCGCAAGGGCTTCCTCATAATTCGGATCGTTCAGACGGTGATACAGTTTACGGAGTCCCCACACCTTGAAAACATACAAAACTCGACCACTTACCCTTCATCAGTCAACTCTAGCAGTTTCCTCACTAATTATACGAGCTTATACTCGAATTCTGCCAGAGATGCACAAAAACCCACGAATGTCTTCCTGAATTTTCATATTGATATCAACAGGCATAGCTAAACAAGCGCATATTTTTCCACACTATTCATGGTTCACCAACAACCCCTCAAAACTCTCACCGTCATTTACCACAGAAGTCATCTCAACTGCTACTACTACTACTACTACAACAAACTAGTTTAGGAAAATATGCATATAGCTGCAAACATGACAATATGAAAATTCTGAGGAAATCTTCGGAAGTCGCGACGAGTTTCTACCAAACTTGTACGTAAACTCCTATAATTAGTGAGGAAACTCTCGAGCTCAGCTGAGGAAAGTAAACACATATTCCACCACTGATACTCTCACAAATAGCACACCTTACCTCGCTGAGATACTGGAAAAGATTCTTTATAAAGATACGTGTAGCCGAAGTAGTGGTCTCCTCAGTCAACTGAATGCACTTCAATACCTACAACAACAAAAATATCAACAATTCCTGAAACGCTTCGCTCCGCCTGCCTACTTCCCAACTTATCGCATCACTCGCCAAAAGATGACCATAAAACTTCGCTACGTTACGAATCTTGTTGGTCTCGAGTCGATGACACGTCTCATATTGGTCCAGGAAATTGGCCTCGAAATTCTGTCGGTAAACTTCCACCAAACGACTGAGGCGTTCAGCCTGAACAAAGAGAACACATTTCATCAACACAAATTCTAATTTAACTTTTATGCAACCGATGCACTGACAATTATTTTCCACCATATAAAGGGAATAATTATAAGAACTGATTGAGGAATAAATCATCATACATTTAATATTCGCTGAACTGATTTCAAATTCAAATTGGAAATTAAATTTCGGGAAAAATTTCAAATTTTAATTATGCAAGAAATTACTTCAAAAATTATGTAAATTTGATTATGCATATTCGGTTCCTCAGTGGAACACGGTATTAGAAATGGAGACTATCCCTCAGCCAGCCATTGCAATGATCCTCACCTGAAGAGCATAAAAGCTATTGAACGTCCTTTCCATCGCACAGCAGTCGATCAACATCGTACAGATCTGAGAAAAATGCATAACAAAAATCACTTCGCTCCGCTAAAAGTGTTACCTCTTTTTCTTGCCCCTCTCTAATATTCAGACTGAGAATCTTATGCACGCACTCCTCAAAGTTCACAGACGACATGATGCACAAGTACACTGAGGGAACACGACCATCGGTGGGGAATTTCGTGGCGCGCGGGAAGTTTATGCAACTCGTACGACTTCAAAAACTTCACAATTTCCCACCTGTTCGTCGTAGATCAACAGTAGCTTGCTCAGTGTAATCGATAATCTCTTGAGTCGCCTTGGCTTGCTGCTGTCCTTCCTCCTCCTCTTCTTCCGCTTCGCTGTCCTCCGATGATGACGACGAAGACTCTGAAGTAAATCCCAATACATACCACTCCTCCCTCATTCCTCCGAACAAATGACGGTAATACACTATGTTCTACAACTCCATCACTGCCAATAAACACATACCTAATGAACTATAGCCCAGTACAAGACCTATGTACTACTAATGCATACAAACTATCCGTAAAAAATACTCATCAACCACTCAAATGGTCATACTACACAACTCGGTATTCCACCATCCCTTCAAAATGTCAGTACATACCTCCATCACTCTCGCCTCCTTCCTCCTCATCACTACTCTCTCCTTCTAACAGCGATTTACTAAATGCCTTCCACTCCCCTTCCTCCTCCTTATACCTAAATATATTTTCTTATTTTCATACCATAATTCCCTCCTATCCTACTGTGCCGGGGTTTCCGCTCTGAAAATATTCAAAATATTTTCACCATCGATTTCCCCATCTCTTATGGCAATATCATGTGTATACCTAATTTCAATTTAAATTACCATACTTTTCATACCGTAACTCACTGATCTTCTTCATCGATCAACTCCAACTCGGGAACAACCCCAACATGGTCGGGTAGGAAGTTTTGCCGTAATATAGCAAAGAAGTTCTCAATCGCATATTGCACCCTCTTGTTTTCCAACTGACCTGCTCATCAAAGTAAGAAAATATGCATATGCTCAAAAATGCGGAAATTATGAGCAAATCTTTGGGGAATTTCTCCTTGGGTTTTTGTACACTACCCAAATTCGTGTGTAAACCTCAACTTTGAAACTCCTGAGCTCAGCTGAGGAAATCAAACATATATTTCTCCACCACTACAACAACTACAACCGAACACAATCAAAATTGTCTCCTTCGTGAACTCCTATTTCCTACCATATCACTTCTAACACTCGTCGAATTTTTAAAGTGCACGTGAAAACATAACAACCAACCACACTTCTTTCAAAAATGCATTGAACTACTCCCTCACTGTCCCTCATACCTTCATGTAGTATCTTCCTCAACCTCGACGTTAGAATCATCATAGCCTTCTTATTAAGTTCTTGTAATACTTGTCCACATTCCGTAAGTAGTTGACAACATACTTCAACACTATCGGTAGTGAGCTCCTCCAGGAACAACAGACACACTCTCATTATAGTGAATCTACACACAACAACCAAAACAGGTCGCAGGTTCTATTCCCACCACAACCTCATTTTACCACCATTTTCCAACAACAAGCCTTAAAAGAATGCACAAACCGCGCGAATAACAACAACAGTATTGTATCAGTATTGAATCTTGATAAGAAGTTGGCCAAGTGTAGACGATTCGACAGGGACACGTAGGAGTTTCACCCGTCTCACAGGGGAGTGGCGAAACACTCTGTGGAAAACGCGATATTCGCGACATACGTTTCTCACCAATGTTTTTCTCATATCACAGGTGAAACTCCGTTACTCCGAATTTCAATATAAATGGTAAAATACTCCCCGAGTAAATAGAAAACTCCTTTTCCGACGACATTAATGGTCATACCATAATTTCGATATTACTCTGATATAACCTTCTGGTTCATGAGATGTGCCAACATCTTGCATGCCGCCGTCAACACTATCTTATCGTTTCTAGCATATGCACGCCTGATACCACACTTCCATCAACAACAAGGACAAGGACAGCGACTATTCATAACATACCGAAACATAAGTGCAGCCCTGTTCGCTATCAGCTCTCCCACTTCTGGTAGTCGGGAATTTACCACTGCCACCAACGCCGCATACACGTGAGTGAACCCTGGCGAGGCCTACAACAACAACCCTAAATCTTCATACTGCGTTACGTATCTTCTTTTTTGTTACATATCGGATGGAATATACATACACAGCGTTAACACAAAACAGTACAACAACACGGAGATAGGAATCATATCCAGAAATCTTCATACTGCGTTAAATATCTTTTCTCGCACACTATGATATAAATACGTATAATAATATGATCTACTACAAAATAATTCCATAACGATACGTTTTATATAGATTTTATATATAATTTATATGCAATTAAATATTAATTTATTATATATTTTTTAATTTATATTCAAGCGCCAATTCCATACCACACCTTCCCCACATTACCATCTGTGCTCTTAATATAGCTCTTGCAAAGAGCCCCTTCCCTCGTAGTAGATTCAACGTGAATAGTTCCCCTCGAACTATGTCCTTTATATTCCCAACTGATACTTTATTCACTAAACCATTTATGGATTTCCTCAATGCTTCCCACTCCTGCCGTTGGACTTCAGGACCTGATCACAACACACAAACTACATCATAATCATGTTATATATAATCCCTATATCGCTATATAATAATTACTATAGATAAATCATATGTTATCGTCTACCTTATATTTTATTATTATTTACATTATACAGGAAATATGACAATACCAAAAATACGACGTTTTGCATTTATACAGTTGATCCACCAACCGCTGAGAGAATGATAGTCACAAGATTTCAATTTGTACAACTTCAATTCGTGGTCAAAAGTTGACGAAAATGATGGAAACTCCGCGAGCAGTGTGCAACAAAAAACTTTTGCTACTATTACCATCAACTGCGCGATGACAAAGTGAAATTAATATTCGTGAAAAATTACTCGAAGTTGTTCAACATAGATTCTTTATACCTCTAAGTTGCGCGAAGCTATCTACTCTACTATCAAAAACAGGTGCCTTTGCGCCCCTTGCCACTTTTTGTACACTTACAAAATGCATTGCCTTCACACACTAATAATTCTTTGTGAACTACATATAATGTGATATACGTACAATAATCAATAATTCATCAAGAGTTGCTGCTTCATCTCTCATTCCTATTACTATTACTACCAAAACTGTACTTCGCGACTTCCCGTACACTTATGCATTATACCGTGATTATATGTACACTTATAAACGATTCATCAAGTATTGCTGATTCATATCTCCCCCCTACTACTACTACCAAAAGCTTCCTTCGCTTCCTTCGCTGCCTCAGCTTGCATTCTCGCCAATTTAAACGGGGGAATGTACACACCTCCAGATCGACCTTAATAATAACAACAGTTCAAAGCCATCATACCACAACTTATTATTACCAAGATTCTCAAGCTGTCGCTTCCTCTTCTCCACAGCATCAACCTCAGTAGTAGTAGTCGGCTGCTCTGGAGTGACGACAGTTTTAGCCTCCTTCTCCTCCTCCGCCTGTGGTGAGCTCATACTAGGGGGAGTGGGAGTAAATAATACTATCATTCATAGTAGCAGCACTTTGTACATAATATTAACCTCCAGCTAATCCTCGAGTTTTACGACCAGTTTTACGTGAAGTGGCTTAATAATACTCTGCCAAAAACTCTCGATATTATCCGCAGTATGCAGTGGTTTGGGGAATATGTTTTTCATTAGTGTTTATAATATCACAGAAGATATGTTCTACTCTGGCACCACTTTGGCAAGTAATTGATATTAATATACTCTTCTAATTGATATTATACATACCAATTCTAATATGATAAAAACACTAGTGAAAAACATATTTCACGACTACTGCATATCACCGCGAATATCGCCTTTTCACAGAGATGAGTGTGTTTTACCGCCGGCCTATGGCCCGCTTTGATCTTCTTAGCTCGTTGATCATCTCGCACTGATTCGTCATGCATGGCCACCCTCTGAAACCGCCTCAACATCCGCACAACCGGAAATTGTCTTTATATACATGAGTATCTGAGGCCCGCTATCGCTATCCCATTTCTTACCAAGTCGCAAGTCACGTAGCTGCGCCGCCGCCGCGAGAGAAATATAATCCCCAGGTTCGATCCCCGGTCTGGGCACAATTCACCAGTTTTTTGCAAATTGCAAGAACAGCGCGTTTTGGGTCCGAAACGGTCTTTTACTTCTTGACCAAGGATTATTGACGAAGTGGTTGGTGACACGAAGATTTGAATTCAATGGTCATCCCATTGCCACCTCGGGGGGAGGATTCCTCCCGGAGGAACTCAAGGCCATCGAGATTTTCATGCTGCTCTCCGTGGTGCACTTCAGAGTCTTGATAAGACCCGCTGTCCCGTGCAACAGCTGCGGTTATACTCCTCCGTACGTTGAGTCGACGTCGTCGACTCTTCACCAGTAGCGAATCACCACTCTCTCCAGCTATCGTTTGTCGTGGTCATATGAAAGCTTCATCCGGCCCGTTTGCTTCACAGGAGTCTCGTGAAATTAAGGATGCTGTTCTCGAAGCGTTAGAACCACCAAGTTGGTGGGAGTCCCACCGTGGGACAATATGACTGCTGATGCGTATATGAATGAGGTCCGTGATGGTCAAGATATAACTCTCCGAGAGTTGGCTGATGTTTGGTGGTTGCGTCGACGCTCTGTACGAGATGAACAAGTGCTCCGACGGATAGTAAAAGAAAGGTCACACTTGAAGAAGGTAGGGAGACTATTGAGTATGTCCTGAATTTACGTGCTGGTCCTAGTGACTAGTCACGGGCAGGAGTGTGCTGGATTCAGCAGATATCGATAGCGAGAAGTGAGAGTGTTGGAGTCACTTGAAGACACAAAAAAATGTCTTCCAATGGAGAACCTCCACGGTTGTTCTGTGCATGTGATGTAGCTATGTATCTAGTGTCAAGCTAGTATGCTGGTCTGGTACTCTTGAACTTCCATAGATCTTATATCTTATAAGCTGTTGTTAGTCTTAGGTTCTGCGTGAGATTAGACGGTGTTTCCTTAGTTTTCGTTAAGTTAACAACTATCAACAACGGCATCACTCGGCATACACACGAGTGGTCAGCGGCCGTTTCCCTTTGTTGTGATTCTCATTTCCGCCCCTCCCTGCACCTACGAGTTCTACAACTGGTAACTCAACATTCGTTGGTGATGGTAGAGGGTGACGTGGCGGGTCAGTACTACTGACTCAGTAGTTTTGAACCTGACTGCCCTTGCATTGATGGAGCAGCCCAAGAGGATGTACACTTCACCGTAAAGCCTTCACTGACTTCGCATAGTTCACACTCTACGCGTCGCAGATGCGTTAGACGCAATGGGCCAGAAAGTTCCTGTTGCAGGAGCGTGCTGTCAGGAAAGCCGCCTCGAGGACGTCGCTCGAGACTCGAATCGAGAGCGGGTCGTGAGAAATTATTCTGGAATTCGAGTCCGTAACCTTTGAGGACGAAATCATGGATCCAACGACATTAAATGCAGGCCGCATCATGCGGCACCAAATTCTGCTACTGCATGATGCGTCCCGCATATCAATGAGGAGCGTCCACCGAATCAAGTTCACAGCCTGTGAATCACAGGGGAACCTTGTGGACCTCGACTCGAGATCCTCGAGTTCTGAGTCATAGCTCGAGTCGCCTCGCAGCGAGTGATAACTTATGACACCAACTCATAACTCCGAATTCAACACATTTAAGGGCTCGTATCATACGAGTCGTATGTAAAATGATGGGGAAAAGGGTGAGAATCATTTCTTCGTAAAATGTGGCTTCTGAAAATACTCACATGAGATGAAAGGCAAGAGATAGTAATTCTCGAAGAAATGATGGATTGCGCCTGTCTGGAAACATCGAAGACATTTATTTAGCTGTATAAGAAGGATTTCTCATTTCCGATATAGGACAGTTGCTTGGTACACACAGATGGGCCAGTACTCAGTTGCGGTTGTGAGCCGACACACACCGCCTCCGGGGTTGGGGACTATCAGTCAGAGCTCCGCACTGCCTCCGCTCATAACGGCTCTCCTAGGCAATGGTCCGAGAGTACCATCGATGAAATCGTTGATCATGAAAAGAGCCGTGCGTGGCTGGTCGATGGGTACGAAATGGCCAGCTTGGTATACCTATAAGGGAAGTGCTGTAGAATGTTGAGTTCTTAATACTCTGAAGAAGCCAAACATTCCCTTTCTCTTCCAGCGGATACTGCGGAGTGAACCAATATATTCAGCATACTGAATCACTGAATCAACCTGAGGCTTGAAAGATTGGAAGCAGGAAAATATGCATCAGATCATTGAATGATCATCTCTTGATCGGCAGCGAACACGCCTACTGGGTATTCATAACGGGGAGCTTTGAGGAATTCATCACGTCCTGGCCAATCCATCGCATCCGCCACATGCTCGTAACCAATCCAGTTACATTGGTAATCTTGATCTCCGGCATATAGAAGAATCTTATCGAGGAGCTAGCAGTTAGCTGCTAACTCGAAATGAGATAAACCTCACGATCCAAAGAGTCACACTGATGCATCGAAGATATTCCAACTCAATGCCGGCTACAAAGCAATCAGTGCTATGTCCAAGCAAAGTCCGTTGCCAAGAATATTGTACGTATTATTCTCATATTGGGCATGGATTGCTTCAATCATGAAACAACATCAGGCAGCAGTAGAATGGACATCACTCATGAAAGTCGAGTTCAACATCGGTTAACAGCCTGTCAATGGCAGGTCGATTAGTCTAGTTGTATGTGAATAAACTCTGTCTAACTCGAGATTTGAGCTAACTTACTCTGATCTCGGCGTCTAACAAGTCGGGCAGTAGTGTGTCAAATGGTGATAAGTGATCCAGATCGAATTCTCCAACCTGACGCGAGATATCTGGTTTGATCAAGAGCAAAACTCATAGAAATTCCTCACGTCCGAATAGGTGGAGAATTCCTGGTCGACTCCTAGTTCTCTTTGTATGTCCTCTCTGTTGAGATAAATCTCCAACTGAACAGAGACACACAGAGTTTCAGCTCATGCGAATAGCAACGCTGCAAGAGGTATGCCGCTGGACTGACAACAAGCAACCCACCGGACTTTTCTCGATTCTAGAACCACGGGGATACTCTCTTTGTTTCCTCATATCGAATCTGAAATACAGCGAGATGCTCACACCGAAAGCAGCATCACTCAAGCATCCCATCAGGAGTCAGAACACGACTTTTGACGCACTTGTCGATGCTTTTCAGAATTAAATCCCAGACTGGCCGAGACTCGCAATCCATAGCCACACTGCAAGGCAAATCTGAAAGCGAGAGATACTGCAACGAATATGTTCCCCTCTCCCTGCGTATGGATCGAATGAGAAATGAGTTTCAATGATTGCAGTCAAAATAATGAGAGAAACTGAACCTGGCGTGCCGATGGAACTCAAATCATAATGCTAGGCGACGCTCCCAGAGAGGACCAGTCATGTTCTTGATAACGACGCAACGTGTTATAAACCTCGAGCACCGCTTAGCGTCTCTACTCCTTCCCAAAAACCTAACAAGAATCATCCACGAGCAACTGTGTGTTATTGTCATTATGACAATGTCATACTCATTGTACGCGATGACGCTTCGAGCAGTACAGCTGTGGAAGGCCATCGCTGGGTAGTCGAGGACTCTGGGAGAAGTAGAATGATCTCATGACGTCCTCATTGCAGAAGCATACTGGATTGCGGCATTCATCCATCCATTCCCGATTGCCAGTCCACGAAGGTTGATATGAGGCTCGATCCCTCTAGTGTTTTCACGCCATATCTTATGAGCTATGGCAGGTATGTAGTGACCTGAGTAGCTGGGATGATATTTCGGTAATCTGTCACGGTTACCAGCATATGACTCCCCGGTAATGTAGAAATCTTTGCCTCCATACTTGGTATGTTTAGCGAAGAACTCTTGTAGGGCCATGTACCTTCCAGTATAGTCTTGCATACATATTAATGATATGATGGGCATTTCAAGTCCTACAAGTCTTCGGCAGCTTCAAATGAACCATTGGTCACTTGCGGTCCAGTTGAGAATCCTGTTCCCGCAGGTTGATCAACATAAAGGAGGTTGGCTCGCGTATTCCAAGAATATCTGATAGTCAGCATATTTCTATCAGGGAAACCAGCGCTCCTCACCGGTTAAGTGTAGTGCCATTCCCGTATTCTTTTACTCTGCAAGGTCCATTCTCTGTGAAGAGTCCTAACATGCTGCTGCAGCCAACTGGTCGGCTCGGCCTGCCCTGGTTGGGCCCCCCGTTGAGCCAGAGAATGACGGGGTCTCGAACTGGGTCGGAGCGAGATTCAAAGAACCAAAAGAATAGCCTAGTACGAATCCACGTGTGTGATAATGACTATCAAGAGGCGCTCACCTTCTTCCAGAATTGCCATTAAGGTAACCGTGTACTTGCTTAACACTGGGATCGCACAGAGCACTGGCGCGGAGCTCCGTCTGGAGCGGTTTGATTTTCTCCGATGTGACTGAGCAGAAACGGAGGGATGGGTAGATTACCGGAGAGACGGAGGACACTTACTGTTAGGTGGTTGATGGATCACTCGACCGCCAGCCCAGGCAATCAGAGATAGCAGGATGACGATGGAGCCGACGTGAGGCATCGATGATTGAATATGGGATATGATGATGCTGAACAGGGGAATGTGGCACGGGTAGATTGTTGGGCTGACTGAGGCATTATCATTCGGCACAGCATAGCCTGCTGAGCTACGACTCCTCGCTATCAATGAGCCACGCTAATGTAGAACTAAGGACAGCGCTGGTCTGTTGAGTTCCTGGTCGATTCGAGACAAGGATTCTCCGAGAAGATGGCTCTTTTCTGCATCTTGTGCAAGCGTGCGTGGCTAATTCGAAGGAGCTCGTGCGCGTTAAACCCGTCGTCTACTTCGTCACCCGCGTGTTCCGCTGGTCAAAGGCCCTCTAGTACAGAGCACTCGTAAACATTGCCATCGGATCGTCGACCTTATGCTTTAGCCCAGGATCTATGCTGCTATTTGTTGTCCAACGAGGAGCAACCTCAAATTTTCGATACTTTCCCGATTCTGTCTAACTATCGGGAGATAAGATAGACAGAGAGGAGAGGATATCTTCTTTCTTCCACCGCGCACCCTGGTCAACCACCATTGCTTGTTCCAACCGACTCTCACGTTCTCTCTCCCTCATTACTGGTGATCCATCAACGAATGGAGGGAACCTACCATTTTAGTTTGTGTTATGCACCATAGGGCGATAATGCTGCTACATGATATGGCTCGTATCGTCCTGCTAGCGTGCCAACCTAGTCGTACTTGACGGGTTAAGTAGCCCTGTAGAGGAGCGTATCTCGCACACGGCATTATTTTGAATATTTTCATGTCATGCAGACCTCGTGACAAATCATGAACTTCATGTTATGAAGTTCATGATTTGTCACCGTCCACTTCCGGCTCGGCAATCATCCTTACAAAGTATACTATAACTCATCATACCTCAGCTAGGTAAACGCAACATATGCGTAAGTAGCTGGACACCTGAAATAATGATTCCATGCGACCTGCAGTACAGGACGGAACCCTGCAATACTGCGGAGCCATGAAAATGGAGAGAATCGTGATAAAGTTCAAGGTGAGCTTGACATCGATAATAAAGAGCTATCATTGACTTGTTGCATCTTGTAAGCTTTACTCACGATGGTGAAGAAACGGAGGAATACAAGATTCCATCCTGTTCAAGCTTTTGAGGAGTTTGCCATATCAGGCATTCTGCTTCAAGCGAGTAGCCAATCAGGAGCAAGCGTTCCAGGGACAGAGATATTGGAGGAGACAGATGCTGATGGCGCAGTGGCACATCACGGTTTCAACACCGATTCTACTACAATAGTTTTCTTACGAGTAACAGAGCCATATGTACCACTCGTGGATATGCTCTCCAAATTCAGTGATTGAGGAGGTGCTGTTGTCCACTGTGTCCATGCTCTGTGAGCTTTTTGTAGAGCACGCAGGCACTCCGGACGCCTCGGATTGATGGACCTGGACATGAGGTCCTCAAGTCATGTCGCCCCCATGATGAGGATGTATGCTGCGCGGAGTACATGTCCTCCGCATCGCGGAGGCATCAGATGCGATGTAGCAGACTCCCATAAGGTGAGACAGGAAGTTTCCGTTCTGGGAACTTGCTGTCACTGACAGCCTGCCAAGGAAGACGTATCGAGGATGAGGTCCGGACTATCGGTGACGAAGATGACATCATGATTCATGGCTTCAGCGAACTTCGCTGAGCGAAGAATGATGATCGAGGATGCGGCGGACATTCTGCCGCATCCTCAATGAGGAGCTTCTACCAGGTCTAGTTGACAGGGGACTCCCCTGAGGGGAGCCATGTGGACCTTATGCCATAACAGCAGATTATGACTTCGAATTCAACACATTCCAGGCCTCGAAAATGAGACGATGGAGAGCAAACGGGTGAGAAGGAATCTCATGAAGTGTGGCTCCCAATTATGCTTACATGGAAGGAAAGGCGGAGTATAGTCATTCTCGAGGAAAAACCGAGTTCCGCGGCGGAGCTTTCGCTATCTGGAACGCGAACGAGCTCCATCGAATAACCCACGCGCGGTAGTGCAAGACGCGGAGAAGAGCCACCTTTGCAGAATCCTTTTCTCGAATCGGCCAGTGACTCCGCAGCATAGTGCTATTCTATAAGCGTGGCTCATCGAAGGGGAGGGGCCGTAGTTCAGGAGAGTCTGCTGGGTCTACTGAAGAGGCCTCAGACTGCCCATTCCGTGCCACATTACTCTGCTCAGCACCATCATAACCCAATCAATGATGTCTTTCGTCAGCGCTATCGTCGTCCTGTTATCTCTGTTTGTCTGGGCTGACGGTCAAATGATTCAACAT